GTAAGAGCCCCTGGGCCCTGGTATCAAAGACTATTCAAGATTGGACAAATCTTAAGGAAGTTAGCCCTGAGGGTCTCAAAGATCCCCCAGTCTTGGCTCTTTTGGAATACACCTCTTTCATTGTTGCTGAAAGCTTTTGGGCTTCTTTTACCCTGACTGTTAATCCCATGCTCATTCCCTCCCTGGTCTGAAAGCTTGTCTCTTAGACAAGAGAAGCTTAATCTTAGTATACCCCAAGACTGATGCAGAAACCTGCTAGCAGTGTCTGTGGCATTGTGGATGAGATGAGACAAATTCACATGGACTACTGAGTCCTGTGGAGGAAAAAGGACGGTACAACCACTCCCTCAAGGGAAGAGTGCCTTGGAGTGCCTTGGCCACTCTCTCAAGAGGATAGCATGCTGGCCCTTGCCTCTGCAGGCTTTTATTGCTTTTCTGGGCACATTACATTGAGGATGGTCCTCATTTATTATGCACAGGTTCACTTTAGGTGGTTACCTTTTAAAGAAAACAAAGGAGAGGATGTTGCTAATTACATCAAATAAAAGGATATTTGCAAATGTAAGGGAAATGTGTTTGAACTGGTTACACTTGTCCTTGGAAGGTTTAGCATAGATTTTAGGAAGTTACTTTAAAGATATGCAATAAACATCTGCTGTCTCAATTCAGGGTGAGGAGTTTTAGCAAAAAGCAGGTCTCAAAGCAGCCTAGGTACAATGCAGGCCTGATTCCCCGTGGGAGAACCTATCCATGGGTCCTGTGTACCAGATCTCGCTTTCCACTGGCCTTTCTGAGTAGGGGCTGGGCCCACGCCATGCAGAATGGTCTCCTATACAAGACCACCCCACTAGACCAGGAAAGAGTCCCCACATATTGGAATATGGACCTATTGCCCCAAGCCCTACCAGAAAGTATCTCCTTACACCCCCTCTGGTGGAGGACTGGGTAAACTACCAAAGGGAAAAGATAAATAATTTGGTCTGTGCCTGCTTTTGTGGAATATGTGTATCTACTTTAAAGAATGCCCCCTGGGAGGGTGGAAACAAGTGAGAGATAAAACTTCAAGGGTCTGGGGGATAAGAATTTCATCCCAGAGAAATTGCCCTTGGGTGCTTATTACAAAATTGGGAGTCATTTGTGTATTACACTTTAACTAAAAAGCACCTTACTTTCCTTTGTAATACCACTCTGCCTCAATATGAACTGGAGGATGGGGAATTGTGGCTGGTAAGTGGGTTTCTAAATTATAACACAGTTATCCAATAGGATTTATTATGTCAAGGGCTGAAGAAATGGGGTGAAATCCCTTAACATTTAATTTTTATGCCCTTGTTCCAGAATAAGAGGTTATTTTAAAAAGTGGGTTCCCATCTACTGAAGAGGGCCCCAGAAATCCAAATCAGTTTTCTCAATTCTAAATATGAGATCAGAAGGCCCCTTTGACTTCCTCCCTACCCCAAGGCCAAGTTTCCCCCCAATGCCATCTAGTCCATTAGGTGGCACCTAGTGCAACCTTCTCCTGGGTGGCATGCTGCATCTTCTTCTGATAAGCTTTCAACCCCCTTGCCTCTTCCCTCACCCACGCCCCAACCCCCACCAAGATACCTCCTCCCCCGACCCTGTCCTACATCTCATCCACACCCAGGCCCCGGTCTGGCCAGTACTCATAGTGGGACAAGTTATAAGCCTGAGGAACAGAAAGGCTGTCCTTCCACTGAAGTTCCCAGTGGGGAAAGAGAGCCTAATGACTGTGTATGTGCCCTTTGCCTCATCAGACCTGTGTGATTGGAAGGTACATTCAAAAAGATTAAGAGAAGACTCAGAGGGCTCCCTTAACCTGGTTAGGGAAATATTCCAGACCCACTATTCTACTTGGTAGGTGTCCAGACCCTCCTAAATGTCCTGCTAACAGGAAGAGAAGCCCCTAGTCCTTACAAAAGCTAGATAAGAAGCAGAAAAACTAATAGGTATAATGCTGGTCATCAAATCTACCAACCAGGAGCATAAGCCATCCCTGAGATGGATCCTACTTGGGACTTTAGGGATAATATAGGAGAAGGTCAATTTAGCCACTTTAGAAATATGATTCTTAAGGTAATACAAGTAGCAGCAGGAAACCTATTAATTGGAATAAGAGCCAAGAAATCACCCAGGAACCTAAGGAGAATCGCTCTGCTTTCTCAGAAAGGTTTAAAGAATGCCCACACATTGACAGCAATTGAAATCCAGAGTCTATAGAAGGAAATGCAATAGTTTGGTCCTACTTTATGTCACAATGTGCTCCAGACATTAAGAGAAAACTATAAAAATTAGGAATAGAACCTACCACCCTGACCTCCAGATCAGTGGAACTGGCCTTCTGAGTGTTCAACAACAGAGGCCTCAAGGTAGAAGCCAAGAAGGACAGGAGGGCCAAGAGAACAGCTAACATTTTGGCTTTGGCAGTTCAGGGTCAACCAAACTTGCAGAGATGATGGGGCCCATCCCTATGGAACTCTACAACACCAGTGAGTTACTCAAATTCCCCCAACAGCCCTAGGGACTTGAGCTTAACCAGTGTGCCATATTCAAAGAGGAAGTTTGTTGGAAAGGGGAATGCCCCAAATGTTTCCTAAGAAGACCAAATGGACCACTACATCTATACCCATCCCTGCAGGTAGCACAAACAGGAGGAAAAGACTGAAGGGGCCAAGGAGCTCCTCTCAAGTCCCTTGAGTTACCCCTGAAGAGCCTTGGCTGACCCTGGTAGTAGGGGATAAAAAGGTTGACCTCCTAGTCAACACAGGGGCCACCTACACAATCTTGAACACTTTGCAGGGCTGTATGACCAAGGATAAATCAAAATAGTGAGGGTAGAAGGAAAATCAAAATATAGACCCTTCCTTGAGTGCTTAGTATATGACCCAGATGGAAAGATCTTGTCCCACTGTTTTCTCTGTACCCTGGAATGTTTGATCCATCTATTGGGAAGAGGCTTACTATACAAATTAGGAGTTTAAATTTACCTAGAAAACAAAGTTATTAATATATCTCAGGAAGAAGTCTTCCTGTAAGACAAAAGTGAAGTTAGTAAACTGAAGAGGGAAAGTATCAGTTCAATGAGTATGGGATGGGCCAATTTGCTCCTGGCTATGCACTCCCTATTTTATCCTCACCCTACTCAGATGGTGGTGAGGAACCTGACCATCATTAGGATAGTCTCTCATCTAACAATGCCCATCTAAAAAATGCCCAGTCTTGTCTTCTTTTTGTCCATGGCATTAAAAAAAAACCCCAGAGAGAAAAAAGGAGTCTTGGGCCCAGTGTTCAGAATTCAGAATCTTAAGCACTAGCAACCCTATAAAGGACAGGGATCAGTGACCGGGAAAGGTCAATTAGAAACATCTTTATCCTGGTTCAAGAGTCATGGAAGCTACCCTCCTGGCTCCAGAAGCACACCACACAGCTCTCAACTCCTTGGCGGAGGTAGTCTTTCAGAATTTCTGGGCATTAGATGTGCTAACTGCAGAAGTAGGAGGAACAGGTGTCATGTTATGTTAGGGAAAGAATGTTGCTTTTATGTAAACACATCAGTTCAAGTAGAAGAGAGTCTAGAAGTCCTAAAGAAAAATATAGTCATTTTAGAAAACACCAAACCCTGGCCATGGACCCCTATCCTAAACAAAATATCCCAAATTTGGGTTAGATGGCCAGGCCCACTTCTAAGCCCATTTATGTCAGTAGTCACAATAGGAACCTTCCTCTTAATCTTGGGGCCATGTTCATTAGATTGCACTACAAAATTTGTAAGATGGATCTTAGAAACAATTAAACTCCAGATGGTAATTACCCAGGATTACAAACAGTACAGCTGGGTGGCAATCAGACTTACTTAAAGATGGCTAGGGAAAGTTTCTGCTCCTCTTCAAACTCCCACCAGTGTCCCACTTCAGCAGGAAGCAATTACGAAAGCTTGGCCCTTTAGAGCCCCCCTCAAGAATAAGGAGCAATAAGTAATGAGAGGGGGGATTTTGTCATCATGGCCATAGGACCCTGGCTGTTGAAACCTTGTGTACTTATGTTTCCATTTCAGTTATAGGAAAAGCCAGAGATGAGGAAACCTAGAATAAGAACCAGCCAGAGTCAGCCTGAACCAAGAAGGTGCTGGATCTGGCCTCCAGGAAGCTCCAGGCCTCATCTCACCCCGATTATAACACATCATCATGCTGCCTGACACACCAGCTGGCACCGTGACAGACTTGACAAGGACCATATAGGGAAGGAAATGGTAGCACCCCAGTGCTGGGAAGAGACCAACCCATTCCTGAAAACTGATGCACATGTCTCCCCCTCATGTTGTCTCCATAGTCATCTCCCTGGACTTCTCTAGAATGGGCAGTTGATCTGGGAGTCTGCCTCCCACTTTTCAATTCTGTGGCCATTGAATAAAATCTTGTGTTGCTGAACACTCAGCTTCAGTTTCATTGTTGGCACAGTGATGCCAAATGGAGAAAGACCCTTGGAAGGACAGAGGGTTTGGGTTTTTTTTTTTATTTTTTTTACAATTTTTTAAAGATTTTATTTATTTATTTTTAGAGAGGGAAGAGAGGGAGGGAGAGAGAGAGAGAGAGAGAGAGAGAGAGAGAGAGAGAGAGAGAGAGAGAGAGAGAGAGAGAGAGAGAGAGAAACATCAATGTGTGGTTGCTGGGGACCATGGCCTGCAACCCAGGCATGTACCCTGACTGAGAATCAAACCTGCGACACTAGGACAGAGGGTTTTGCCAGGCACTGGGTCACCACACTTGGCCCTGGATGATCTAAACTGGTAACACTTTGTATATTATATACTCATGTATGTGTAAGTGATATTTATACATGTATTAGTTTTTTGTGGCTTCCATAACTAATTTATGCAAACTTGGTGGCTTAAAACAGAAATGTATTCTCTTACAGTTCTGGAAGCATGAAGTCTGTAATCAGTACCACTAAACTGAAATGAAGGTGTCAGCAGGGCCACTCACCCTCCAAGGGCTCCAGGGAGACTGTTCTCACCTCTTCCAGTGTCTGACAGCTGCCAGGGTTCTTTGGCTTGTGGCTGCATCACTCTAATCTCTACCTCTGTGTTTGTATTGCTGTCTTCTCTTCTGTGTTGTAGTCTCTCTCTCCCTGCTTTCCCCTTATAAGGAGACATGATAGCATTTAGGGTCCAAGTAATAATCTGGGGCAAACTCCTCACCTCAAAATCCTTAATTCAATCACACTTTCAAAGTCTTTTTGTTTTCTTTTTCTTTTTGCCAAATAAAGTAAGATTCACAGACCCCACAGATTAGGGCCTGGATATTTTTTGGGGGGTGGGGGGGAACATTATTAAAGCCCATTTCACTCTATGCTGTGAAATACTTCAAGATAGTGAAACTGAAGTCCACTTAAGTTAGGTAACTTGCCCAAAGTCATACAAGTGACATGTATTCCAAAACCTAACTACATTTTCTTATGAAGAAAGGCCTCACACCCTAAGTAAAATTAAAATAATGAAATACATGTCATTGTTGCTTTAATTTGCTGTTAATCATTCTTTATGTGCATTAGAAATATTTTAATTGCCTTGAAAAAGAACTAGAAGGTTTTGTGTGAGGCACATTAAGAAACATTATAATTCAGCAGCCAGCACATACAGGCTGGGGCTTCTTGTCAAACTATGTGGTCACTATCCAAATGAGTTACAGTAAATATGAGTTATCAAAGAAAACATTCAATCACAGGAAGTACTTAACCATAAAAGTTCCCTTCAGGATTTAGTAAACATATGGAATCAATTTCATTCAGACTTAAAAAGATGGAAAGAAGAGAGTGAATTTTATTTTTCCTAGTAAGAAAGTTTTCAGCCTATAGTACAACTAAAGTGAAGTCTTTTTTTTCTCTCTCTTCTTTAAAATTATCAGATAGGAGAATTGATTGTGTGGGTGATTTCTGCTTCCCACTCAGCTAACATTTTATAACAAAATCATCTATTTTTGTTGGAAAGCCCTTAGCTGGTACTTAGACTTCATGCTTAGAGGCATGCTCCTGGCTGTTACGCATTTTGGCTGGGTTCAATCTGACTTTCTGGGCTCTGCGCTCCAGAGTTAAAGATGCTGCTAGCACTGGTACACACTTGGAGTAACCAACTTCAAGTTTGTCTCCCCCTCAATTGACAACTCTTCTGAATGCCCATGTTTAATATTTCAGTTCTTGTTGATAATAATGATTTTCTGTATAAGTGGAATTGTGATGTAGTACAGCATTTAAATCTGAATACCTTGATTTCAAGTTAGCACTTCCCTAATGACTAATGATGCTGAATATATCTTCATGGGCTTATCTCTTCTTTATACATGTCCACTTTGGTGAAGTATCTATTCAAATATTTTGAGCATTTTTATTTGGTTTGTATGTTTTCCTAGTTTAAATTTTGATTATTCTTCATATAGTTGGGATACAAATTCTTTTCTAGATATATAATGTAAAATTCAAGTTGGTAGCTCATCTTTTCATTCTGTTAAATAGTGTCTTTCTCAGAGCAAAATTTTCAATTTTGATAAATTCTAATATATCTTTTTTGGTTTGTCTTATAGATGATGATTTTAGTGTTGTATCTATGAGCTCTTTATCAAAGTAATGAAGATTTTCTTCATTTTTTTCTAAGTTTTATAATTTTACATTTATATTTAGGTCTAAGAGGCATACGTTAATTTTCATAAGGTATGAGGTTCAGATAGATATTTATTTTCTTGCATATGAATGCTAAATTGTTTCAACACTATTTGTTAAAAAGACCATAAATTACCTAAACTTACTCAAAATATAATAGACCAATTGAATTAGTAGTTAAAAGCTTTCTAACAAAATTCTCCATGCTTGGATGATTTCACTGGAAATTTTTATCTCACACTTTAAAAAGAAATAACACCAATCCTATAATATCTCTTCTCAAAAGTAGAATGAAGGATATACTTCCCAATTCAATTAATGAGGCCATCATTACTCTGTTCTAAAAGCAAAGGGAAACAGTACAAAAAGAGAAAAACTGTAGCTAAAATTTCTCATATAAATAGTTGGAAAAATCTCATGAACACAGATACAAAAAAAAAAGCAGTAAATATTTCCAACAATGTATTAAAAAACGAATGCATCAGAACTACATGCAACTGCAACTTATCTTGGGAATGTAAGCTTAAATTAATATTAAAAAATCAGTCAGTAAAATCTACCAAAATCATAGTATAAAGTAGAATGAATTCCACATGATTGAATAAATTGATGCAGAGAAACCATTTGACAAAATTCAACATTCTTTCACAATCTAAACTCCTAAGAAACTAGGAATAGAAGAGAACTTCCTCAATTTGATAAGGAGCATCTAAATAAAACCCTTACAACTAACATTAAATTCATGACTAAACACAAACTGCTTTCCCCCAGAAGATTTGGAGCAAAGCAAGTAATGTCCTCACCACTGCTTGTCAACACCATCCATCTGCCCTGGCCAGGACCTGAGAAAACAGCAAATGGGAAATGTGAAAGCTTCTTATCTCAGATGACACCGAGATATAATAAAAGTAAGAATGACCGGCCAGTTGGGAAAACTATTCTGAATGGAAAGGGAAAATAATGGGAATATATAAGGCATACAAATGTGCTCTCAGTTTTTTTTCTTGAGGAAGGAAAATTTTACAGGTAGATAGTATTCTATATTAAGAGGGTATTAATATAGAAGATGGGAATAAAGATGGTATATCATTTACTGAGATTTTCTGAAATGTAATTATGTAAGTTTTCATGCAATAATAAAAAAAAAAAAACTAAAGAGCAAAACCATTAAAAAGTACCAGAGATGAGAAAGTGAGTAAGAGGTTCTTGGTTTGGGTCCATATAAAGTACAGAGGAAAGGGTTACGATAAATAGAAAAGGTGCTTACTCATATCTAGGAAATTATATTTTTACATCTTGCTCTAAATCTCTTAAAATGTAATGCCATGGTAACAGTGTTGTGCTTTAAATAAATTTAAAAATTCTATTTTTGATAGGAAAAACAATAATTGAGTGCAAAATCATGCTTATCTATGTTCCTCACTTAGATACTCTTAGGGGACATTCAGCGTTTGGCACCAAAGCTGTTGAAAGTAGTGGTTAAGACCTTGTTCTTTTTTTAAATCAGAATTCTGGCCTCAAGGATTGTGGTGCAATCTTGGACAAATTACCTAAGCTCTTATAATAAGACCTAATAATAAGCTCTCATAATAAACTCAAATAAGACCTGCTTTGCAGGCTGGTAGAGGAACTGAAGGGGTAATGCTTGTAAGGTACTAGACTAGTACTTGACATAAAGTAGAGATGGATGTTAAGTATCACTAACTATCATTATTATTTACCATATAATAACAAATTATCTGAATTGAATAATTAGTCCCTAGGAGGAAAATAACAAAATAAAATATATATACCTTAAAAATCCAAACTTTTAATGTAATGGTAAATATGTCATGGATAATATCCCTTGCCTATAGGAAATGTGTCTGAGTACTCAATGGGATGTAGCAGTACAGATATAGAGGAATTGGTATGAGAATACAGATTTTGAGGGCAACAAGGCATTGGATGTTAGTTGAAGACAGAAGTTGATCTGCTCCATACCCACAACCTTCCAATTCTGTTACTCTTTTTCTAAGGTGAAATACTGAATTAATAATTCAGATCCCAGCACAGTGATGGGCCACCTTTACTCAGAAGTAAAGAAGTTCATGTTTTTTTGTACATTAGTTTTCTTTGTCCCCTTCCACATATGCCTTTTTATTTTCCCTGTGGATCCCAACTTTCTATTCCTGAAGTAAGGCCAGCCAAGCCACTAGGTTTTGGGGACAAGTTCTTATTTCCTCTATAACAGAGACTGGCTAGATGTCCACCAAAGCTATGTCTCCTTCTTTCCTGGGCATACAATTAAGGGTTCCCTGTGGCCAGGTTGTTAAATGTGGATCCAAGTGAGCTATACAATTCTCAAAATTGTTCCCTGATATATTCTTTTTTTTTATTTCCATCAAGAGGGGGCCTCAGGAGCCCTAGAAGATGGAGTCCTCAGATAGAAGATCTCTAGGTCCCTGAGAGACTGTGTGGAGTGGAGCTTCCCTCCTCCAGTAACTTGTTTTGTATTGCAGCATGAGAAATAAAGTTTGTATTCCGCCAATGAGATATTACAAGTCTTGTTATGGAGTTACTCTGTCCCAACTAATAGACACTCTGGGTGCTTTTACTGTGGTAATATAGAATGTAACTATCACTTAACTAGCATGTAAGTTCTCACACCTGGGGTTGGGTTTGGAGGAGAAGAGGATGGGAAAGCTTTCTGTATGGTTCAACCCAACTTCTGGGAGCTGCATATTAATATTTAAGCCAGAGACCCAAATAAAAATAATTACTTTTTTCTCTTTGCCACTTACATTCTTTCCTCTTCAGATATGGCCTCTCTGGGATAAGGTAGGATTTAGTTATTTCAAAGCTTCCTGCACTGAATGCCATCCTACTATGGTATGGCCTTAGAGCAGTCTGTAGTAATTATTATTATTATCTTTTTAATGTACACAATTTTTTCTTAATTTTATTGTTGACACTATAACAGATGTCCCAATTTCCCCCCCATTTGCCCAACCCCACCCAGCTCCCTGTCCCCTCTTCCCTCTGGCCAGCACCACACTGTTGTCTCTGTCTAGCTCAGGCGATGTTCTTTAGCTAATCCCTTCATCCTCTTTCACCTAGAACCCCTCTCTACCCTGCCTTCTGACAACTGTCAGTCTGTTCCATATGTCCATGTTTCTGCATCTATTTTGTTCTTCAGTTTATTTTGTTCATTAGATTCCACATATAAGTAAAATCATATGGTATTTGTCTATCTCTGACTGGCTTATTTCACTTAGCATAATAACCTCTAGGCCCACCCATACTGTCGCAAAAAGGTAAGATTTCCTTCTTTTTTATGGCCACATAGTATTCCATTGTCTAAATGTGCCACAGCCTTTTTATCCACTCATCTACTGATGGGCTCTTGGTCTGTTTCCAGATCTTTGTCATTCTAAATAATACTACTATGAACATAGGGGTACATGTATTTTTAATTGGTGTTTCAGAATTCTTAAGGTGTATTTCCAGAAGTGGGATCACTGGGTCAAAAGGCAGTTCCATTTTTAATTTTTTGAGGAAACTCTATACTGTTTTCCACAATGGCTGCACCAGTCTGCAGTTCCACTAACAGTGCACAAGTGTTCCTTTCTCTCCACATCCTCACCAGCACTTGTTGTTTGTTGATTTATTGATGGTAGCCATTCTGGCAGGTTTGAGGTGATAGCTCATTGTGACATTAATTTACATTTCTCTGATTAGTGATGTTGAGAATTTGTTTATATGTCTACTGGCTATCTGTATGTCTTCTTTAGAGAAGTGTATATTCAGGTCCTTTGCTCATTTTTTAATTAGACTGTTTGTCTTTCTGTTGGTAAGTTGATAAGTTCTTTATATAATTTGGAAATTAGTTTTTTATCATTGCCAAATATGTTCTCCTGGGCAGTGGGTTCCCTTTTCATTTCATTGATGGTTTCTTTTGCTGTGCAGAAGCTTTTTAGTTTGACATAGTTACATTTGTTTATTTTTCTTTTATTTCCCTTGCCCTAGAAGACATAGCAGCAAAGATATTACTATGAGAGATGTCTGAGATTTTACTGCCTATGTTTTCTGCTAGGATTTATATGGTTTCATGACTTACATTTAAGTTTTTTTTAATCCATTTTCTATTTATTCTTGTGCTTAGTGTAAGTTGGTGGTCTGATATCATTTTTTTTTTTGCTTGTGCCTGTTCAATTTTCCCAACACCATTTATTGAAGAGGTTGTCTTTACTCCATTGTATGCTCTTGCCTCCTTTATCAAATGCTAATTGACCATATTGGTGTGGGCTGATTTCTAGGTTCTCCTTTTTGTTCCATTGATCTGTGTGCCTGTTCTTATGCCAGCACAAGGCTGTTTTGATTACAATGGTCTTGTTTTATATAGTTTGATATCCGATATTGTGATTCCTCCAACTTTGTTCTTTCTCAAGACTGCCAAGGCAATTCAGGTTTTGTTTTTTTTTTGCAGGGAGGGGTTTCATATATATTTTTGGAATATTTTTTCTAGATTTATGAAGAAGAATCTTCTTTTTGAAAGGAACTGCATTGACTCTATATATTGCTTTAGGTAGTATGAACAGTTTAATTATATTAATTCTTCCAATCCATGAATATTGTATATGCTTATACTTATTTGTATCTTTCTCAATTTTTTTCTTCAGTGTCCTATAGTTTTCCAAATACAAGTCTTTTACATTATGTCCTTGATTAAATTTATTCCTAGGTACCTGATGTTTTTTGTTGTAAGTGGGACTTTTTTTTAGCTTCTCTTCTGATAGTTCATTATTAGTGTACAGAAATGCCATTGATTTCTGAATATTAATTTTGTATCCTGCTACTTTGTTAACTTATTAGCTCTAAGAGCTTTTTGGTGCAGTCCTCAGGGTTTTCTATGTACAATATCATGTCATCAGTGAATAATAACAGTTTTACTTCTTTTCCAATTTGAATGCCTTTCATTTTCTTGTCTGATTCTGTGGCTAGGACTCCCAGTACCAATCTTAAGGGAAACATTTTTAGTTTTTTGCCCACTGAGTATGATGTTGGCTGTGGGTTTGTCATATATGGCCTTTATGATGTTAAGGTATGTTTCCTCTATTACCATTTTGCTGAGTATTTTTATTATAAATGGGTGCTGGATTTTATCAAATGTTTTTTTCTGCATATGTTGGTATGATCATGTGATTTTTATGCTTTAAGTTTTATTTTTAACATGTTTTCTTTTGATGGATTTTTAAAACATGGATGTTATTCTTTCTGTTAAGTCTATTCTAATCAGCAAATGAAAGTGATCATTTTACTACACCTCATCAACATTAGATATTATTTCATATAAAACATTTTTAGATTATCATTGACATTCAATATTATTTTATATTTGCTTTAGGTATACATCATAGTAGTTAGACAATTATATAATTTTTGAAGTGATGACCCTGGTAAGTCTAATACCCATGTGGCACCATCCATAGTTATTACAATATTGTTACAATATTATTATTATACTATAGTTATTATAATATTATTGTTACAATATTACAGTATTATTATTACCAATATTATTGAATATTACAGTATTCCCCTTGCTGGACTTTACATCCCTGTGACTATTTTGTCGCTTCTTAATCCCTTCACATTTTTCATCCAGTCTCCCTACTTCCTTCTCATCTGGAAACCCTCAGTTTGTTCTCTGCATCTATGAGTTTGTTTCTGTTTTGTTTGTTCATCTATTTGGTTGTTTAGATTCTACACATATGAGTGAAATCACATGGCATTTGCCTTTTGCTGACTGACTTATTTCACTCAGCACAATATCCTCTAAGTTCATTTATATGTGTAGTCG